TGAGCTAATCTGGGTCCCTCCCTGCCTTTCTGTCCCGTCCCGTCCCCCCACCCCCGCCTCCATCCTCCCATCATCCTCCCTTGGGTCTTCTATGTGTTCCTCTGAAGAATCTGTCCTTTTCCCTTTGTCCACCCCACAGCCATCTCCCTGGCATCCATCCTGGGCCCAGGCTGTAGTCTGCAGGCTCCCTTCAAACAGAAGCTTGTGGGGAGACTGCAGCCCTCCAGCCAGAGGCCAGGATGCTGGTTTCCAGGCCAGGAGGGACTGGAGCTTAGTGGCTGCTGGAGAGAGAAGGGATTCTGAGGGAAAAAAAGCAAGGGGCCCTGCAGGCGAGCCAGGAGGGCTAGAATTGCCTCCTAGCAGAGGAGGAGAGACAGACACAGGGAGCTGAAGGTAGAGGTGAGGGGAAGCACAGCTGTGAGCAGAGAAACAGGGAGAGAGAGAGGAGCCAAGGCCTCGGGGACCCGGGGGCCCTCCCGCCGGCCTCAGGAGCCTGTGGTGTACAGTGTACAGGATGCTACTGTACCGGGGCAGAGTGCTTCTGGGGAGGCTGAGGATGTGGGGATCAAAGGCCAGCTCTCTGGGGCGGCAGCGGAAGCCCCAGGCATCAAAGCAAACAGCAGCTGGAAACCCAGAACCTCCTCCACCGACCAAGCTGAGCCCTGGGGTTGTGGGTTGGGGCAACACAGGGAACTGGGGGTGGTAAGTGGGCCTTGCACTGAGGCCAGGATCACGGAGTGGGGAGGAAAAATTGACCACACCCGGGGAGGGACAAGAATGGCCCTAGTCTTGCTCAGGCATCTAAACTGACTCTGAACCTCAGGGAAGGGCATCTCACATGGAGACTCCCTCAGTCTCTGCTCACTCAGGACATGGTGAGCCTAGGATGGGCGGACAGTGGGACTTACTTTCAGATGTAGGAGTGCCCCGCCCTACTTTCTCACCTCAGCCTCCTGCTATGTGCCTTGTGGTCCCAGGCCAACTAGTAAACAACTTCACCCGTGACCTAGCCTCCCTCTTCCTTTCCTGGAAACCTCCTCCTCCTCTTTCTTTTTTATTTTTAAAGATTTATTTATTTATTTTATTTTTTGACTGTGGGGGGGTCTTTGTTGCCACATGCAGGCTTTCTCTAGCTGCGATGAGCGGGGACTACTCTCTAGTTGTGGTGCGTGGGTTTCTTACTCCAGTGGCTTCTCTTGTTGCAGGGCTTGGGCTCTAGACGTAGGCTCAGAAGTTGTGCACAGACTTAGTTGCTCCGCAGTACTTGGAATTTTTCCGGAACAGGGACCAAACCGTGTCCTTTGCATTGCAAGGCAGATTTTTAACCACTGGACCACCAGGGAAGCCCCCCAAACCTCCTTCTTGACCACTTTTCTTATTTCCCTTGTTTAAAAAAAAAAATTCTAGCAAGTTCCTACCAGGCGTTAGGCCCTGAGTAGTTCCTCTTTGAGGCAGATGAAGCAACATCAGGTTGGCCCTTTCCCTTCAGGACTCTGCCCGCTGCTTTGGCATCTGGTGCCTCAACACCTCTTGAAGAGGAGGCTTCCCCTGCCCAAACCTCACTAGGAGGGTCAAGCCCTTAGCACGCACTCAAGTGCTGCCTCCTTATCATGGATCATTGGCCAACAGGAAACGGAGTCCATCTCAGATGGTTCACGACCACCTGCAGAAAGAGGTGTTGAGGCACCAGATGCCAAAGCAGTGGGCAGAATCCTGAAGGGGAAATGGCCAACCTGGTGTTTCTGGAACCCAGTGAGGGCTTGAGTTGCTATTAGGGGGCCACCTGGCAAGAGCTGTGGTCACTATGGGAAGGAAAGGGCAAAGGAGGGAATACAGCTGATGCCAGAAAATATGCCCTGAGCCAGGAGAGAACAAGGATAAAACACCCCAACCTCTCTCCCCAGCCCTCTCATCTCTTGTGGGTGCTTCCCATTGGCCGATCCCAACTAGGAGCTGAAGGCCGAGGGAGCCTGGGTGACACAGTGTATAAGGTGTGCAGTGGTCAGCTTCCCTGTGGAGAGCAGGGCAGAGACCATGGGGAATGCCTGGGGGTTGGGGGTATGGGCTTCCCTGATGTTCAAGTGATTAAGACTCTGTGCTTCCAATGCAGGGGGGTGCAGGTTTGATCCCTGATTGGGAACTAAGGTCCTACCTGCTTTGTGTGTGGTCAAACAATTTAAAAAATAAAAGAAAGAAGGTGGAGGAAATGGGAGGGAGGTTCAAGAGGGAGGGGACATATGTATACCTATGGCTGATTCATGTTGATGTATGGCAGAAACCAACACAACATTGTAAAGCTATTATCCACCAATTAAAAATAAAAAGAAGAAAGAAAAGAGAATGCCTGAGAGGATGGGCATAAGAGTAGGCCGTGTGGATGGGGATGACTTGATGTCATCCAGGCCAGGTTTGGGTGCGTACAGACACTTTTTAGTTACAGAATTACCATGTTGAGTCCAGAAAAAAGTAATCAGTGATTTCCCCTCTCTGTTCAATTCAATTTGGTTTAAGTTAACTAAACACATCCCAAGACCCTTCTCTGTGCTCCAAATGGGGCCAGCGGTGGCCTTGCTGGCTGGACCATCATCTCCAGCCTAGAGATCAAGTTGGTGGAGGAGAGTTGTTATTGTTCAGTTGTGTGCAACTCTTTGCGACCCCTGGGACTGCAGCATGCCAGGTTTCCCTGTCCCTCACCATCTCCTGGAGTTTGCCCAAGTTCATGTCCATTGCATCGGCGATGCCATCCAGCCATCTCATCTTCTGTCACCCCCTTCTCCTCCTGCCCTCAGTCTTTTCCAATGAGTTGGCTGTTCGCATCAGGTGGCCAAAGTTTTGGAGCTTCAGCTTCAACATCAGTCCTTCCAATGAATATTCAGGGTTGATCTCCCTTAAGATTGACTGTTGGTGGAGGAAAGGCAGGAACTAAAACTATGGTAGAAGCTGGGATGTGCCCATAAAGGGGTCAAGTTCAGAGTGGGAGACTCTGGGAGTTCAGAGCAGACAGCTCACTGAAAGATGGTCCCCAGCAGAGAGAAAGACCAGGCTGGAGTGGGGGTGGGGGAGAAAAGTAGGTCTGGATACACAAGCTGCACGCCAGGTGTGTGCTGACAGCCCCAAGGCTGTCACTGCTCTGAGGCCCGCCCTCAATCTGGGGCCAAATTCAGACACTTAAAAAAAAAAGAAGTACAGTTGATTTACAATGTAGTGTTAGTTCCTGGTGTACAGCGAAGTGATTCAGTTATATATACTATACTCTTTTTCATATTCTTTTCCATTATGATTTATTACAGGATATTGAATATAGTACCCTGTGCTATATAGTAGGACCGTGTTGTTTATCCATCCTGTATGTAATAGTTTGCCTCTGCTAGTCTCCCAGACTTCTAGTCCAACCCTCCACCACCGCCTCAGAGACACTTGAGCCAGGTCCCGCCTGCCTGCGAGGCACTGTCTGGTGGCCTTACTTTTGGCTCTACTTCCTCCATGTCATCTGGTCCCCTTACCATCTGATTGAGCTTCCTAAAGCTCTCAAAGACCTCGTCACATCTCTGCTCCAAAATGAGCAGTGGTTCCCAGTGCCCTGCAGAGCCAAGCCCTAACTCTCTGGCCTGCCCAGCAAGACTCAAGATCAGGCTCCACCCCCCCAAGACTTCCTTCCAGAGCCACACACTCCCCCCACCACCCCGACTCTGAAGACTGTGGTAGGGTGCCCTCCTCTTTCCTTTCCAGCTGGCTCGGGGCTGTCAGACTTGAGTGTGCATCAGTCCCCCAGAGGGCTGTGAATGCAGACGGCTGCTCCCAACCCCAGCTCCTGATCCCGGAGGTCTAGGGTGGGCCCCAGAGGTTGCCTGTCTCACAAGTTCTCTCTCCAACCCAGTGCCGCCCATTCCTCCAGGTCCATGCAGAGCCCTTCTGCGACCCCCTCCCTCACGGCCCTATCTGTCTTCCAAGCCCACAGGAACTCCGGAGCATCACCTTTTTGCTTGTCCCACTCAGAGGCCTTCTAGGGAATCACCCTCTGCCCTTTCCCTGACTGCACCCCTCATGCCAAATCAGACCCCAGGAACTGGGGGTTTTCTTTCAGAACTCCTCCCTTAAGTCTGTCTATCTGAGTTCAGGCCTCATCTTCTCTCACCAGGATTCTTGCAATCCTGCCTCTCTTGCTTGACCTCCTCCAGGTCCTCTTCTGCTCAGCAGCTGGAGGGATCCATCCTGTAAGCCTACACCTGTCCTTCTCTAAGTAAAGCTCCCTCGAGCGCCCAGGGTCATGGCACTCCGGGACCTTCATGACCTGGCCTGACTCCCTAGTCCCAGTTCCTACCAATTTGCCACCTTCTCTGAGGCTTCTTCTTTTTAAAAAACTTTCATTCGCACCAAAGGCCGTCCACTCATTTTATTTTGTAATTCATTGATTGATTAATTAATTTTTGGCTGTGCTGGGTCTTCGTTGTTGGCCACAGAGTTTCTCTAGTTGTAAGGAGTAGGGGCTGCTCTCTAGCTGCGGTGGGAGGGCTTCTCATTCTGGTGGCTTCTCTTGTTGTGGAGTGCGGGCTGTAGGACATGTGGGCCTCAGTAGCTATAGCACATGGGCTCAGTGGTTGCAGCTCCCAGGCTCTAGAGCACAGGCTCAATAACTGTGGTGCAAGGGCTTAGTTGCTCCATGGCATATGGAATCGTCCTGGACCAGGGACTGAACCCGTGTCCCTTGCCTTGGCAGGCGGATTCTTAACCACTGGACCACGAAGGAAGTCTTTTGAGAATCCTTTTCTGGTTCCTCCTGGCAAAAAACCCACCCCTGGCCTGGGCACAGCATGCGTGGCACATAACCCATGGGTGTCTTGTTCAGAGGCCTGCATGTCTAGGTTCCCGCCTGGCTGTCTGGGTCATGAAGTGGACCCAGCCAGGTGAATGCCTGCTAACTGCTGACTGGTGTCTCCCCCAGGCCCTGCCCTTTCTTCAGGGGAAGGCTCAGGCCCCCTGCCTGCCTCAGCAAAGCCGCAATGTGCCCGAGGACTTCTCTTAGGCACCTGTTCTTGGTGCTGCAACTGGGTGAGTGCTCAGACTTGGGGTCTGGGTGCAGGTGACTTGGGAGGAGGGGCTGGTTGGGGACTGCCAGATGGGGGATGGGGCAACCACAACCTCAAGGCCTGACACCCCTGTTTTTCCACCTAGCGATGCTCCTGGCTGGCACTCAGGGAAAAACAGTGGTGCTGGGTAAGGCAGGAGACCAGGCAGAGCTGCCCTGCCAGGCTTCTCAGAAGAAGAACCTGGCCTTCAGCTGGAAAGATTCTTCCCAGTCCAAGATTTTGGGGAATTATGGCTCCTTCTTGCACAAAGGTAGGTGGGCCCTGCTCCCTGTTTAGAGAAGAGAGCCCTGGGGAATGAACACGCCTGTGGCAGGGCCCGGCTCCTAGTAAACGCTGGGGTTCTGGAGGGTTCTGCCGTCAACCAGAGTCTCAGGGACTCCCCAAGTCCGGAACCGACCTCTGCCAGCTACTGGTGGGCTGGGGAATGGCTTCTGGTGGTCTATTATAATTTCATTATTTTAATATTGATGGCCTTATTTTAATGGATATTAGAAAAATAGCTATCATATGAAACCCATGATTTCATGAACACTGTTGTTACAGACCAATGATGATACTTTGTTTAGTTCCATTAAGAGCAACAGAATGTTTTTTTCCTAGCTTTTTAAAAAAATTATTTATTTTTGGCTGGGTCTTCATTGCTGCTTGGGCTTTTCTCTAGTTGTGGCGAGCGGGGGCCTACTATCTAGTTTAGGCCACACTACTCTAGTGTGGGCTCCTCATTTCAGAGGCTTCTCTTGTTGTGGAGCACAGTCTCTAGGCAAGGGCTTCATGAGTTGTGGTATGTGGGCTCCAGAGCTCAGGCTCGGCAGCTGTGGCACACGGGCTGTTGCTTCTCAGCATGTGGGATCTTTCCCCACCAGGAATTGAACCCATGTCCCGTGCACTGGCAGGCAGATTCTTATCCACTGCGCCACCAGGGAAGTCTTTTTCTAGCTTTCAAAGTGGAAAGAATTAAGATTTTTAAACTTCTTAGGAACATTATTTTGCAATCTTATTTTTTCATGTAAATTTTACCCTCATGCTCCTGTTTAAGTAACTTATTTCTTCTGGGTATGGCTTCTAATATTCAATACATTATTGAATGGGAGAAAGTCATATGAGTGAAAAATAGAAAAATGCCACCAGTGTGAAATGTATTTATTCTTTATAAGTTTATTTGATTTATTATTTGCATTTCACTGCTTATTTTAACATTTTCTCTTAATTCAAATGTATATAGAAGTTGAATAAGTATATGATGAACCCCTATGTATCCCTCTCAGCTTCAACAATGATCAGTTCATGAGCAATATTGGTTCATATAACTGAACCACTTTGCTGTACACCTGAAACATTGTTAATCAACTATATTTGGATTTAAAAAACACATCTATAATACCATCATCAATGCTTAAAAATTAATTCCTTAATGAAAAAAAATATCCAGTGTCCAAATTTTCCCAAATGCCTCATAATATCATTTTTACATTTGGTCTATCTGAATCAGAATTAAAATAAAAATTCATGCATGGTATTTGCTTGATATGGCCCTTAAATCTCTTTGAATTTATACATTTACTCTCCTTTTTCCGCCCCCTCTTGCAACTGATATTTGAAGAAACCAGACAATTGCCCTGTAAGTTTTACACTGTGGTAGCATTTAGCATGTGTCTCTGTCCCTTAAATCTCCTAGAGATGGTGATTAGATCTAGAGGCATGATCAAGTTCACGTTCATTTTTCTCTCAGTGACTTATTTAATAATTGTACTCCATATTACAAAGCATTATAACCCCATCTTTTTTAAAAATTGAAGTATAGCTGATTTACAGTGTTGTGTTAGTTTCTGGTGTGTAGCAAAGTGATTCAGTTATACCTACACACCATTTCTCCTACACACCATTCCTCCCCTTTGGCAACCGTAAGTTTGTTTTCTTTGTGAATCTGTTTCTGCTTTGTAAATAGGTTTATTTGTATCACATTTTAGATTTCACATATATGTGATATATGATAGTTGTCTCTCTCTTTCTGACTAAATTTACTTAGTATGACAGTCTCTAAGTCTATCCATATTGCTGCAAATAGCATTATTTCATTCTTTTTTATGGTTGAGTAATATTCCATTATATATACCTTCTTTCTCCATTCCTCTGTTGATGGACATTTAGGTTGCTTCCATGTGTTGGCTATTGTAAATAGTGCTGCCATGGACATTGAGGTGCACATGTTTAATCTTTTGACAAGACCATTTTATAGATGGTATTTTATATTAGCAATTTCATCACATTAGGAGGCATGCAATACTTATTGCTCCTTTTGTACTAGTAATACAAAATAATCAGTGGCTCAAGTTTAGTTTATTTATTTGTGCTTCCCAGGTGGCGCTAGTGGTAAAGAATCCACCTGCCAATGCAGGAGACTTGCAGGAGACTTGGGTTTGATTCCTGGGTTGGAAAGATCCCCTGAAGTAAGAAATGCCAATCCACCCCAGTATTCTTGCCTAGAGAATCCCATGAACAGAGGAGCCTGGAAGGTTATAGTCCATGGGGTTACAAAGGATTGGACACAACTGAGCAACTAAGTCATTAAGAGATCTTAATAAATTGAAATATTAAAAAATGTTGGCAAGAATACACAGAACTATACAAAAAGATCTTAATGACCAAGGTAACCACGGTGGTTAAGTCAAGTGGGCCTTAGGAAGCATCACTATGAACAAAGCTAGTGAAGGTGTTGAATTCCAGCTGAGCTATTTCAAATCCTAAAAGATGATGCTGTGAAAGGGCTGCACTCAATATGCCAGCAAATTTGGAAAACTCAGCAGTGGCCACAGGACTGGAAAAGGTCAGTTTACATTCCAATCCCAAAGAAAGGCAATGCCAAAGACTGTTCAAACTACAGCACAATTGCACTCATCTCACATGCCAGCAAAGTAATTCTCATAATTCTCCAAGTCAGGCTTGAACAGTACATGAACCATGAACTTCCAGATGTTCAAGCTGGATTTAGAAAAGGCAGAGGAACCAGAGATCAAATTGCCAACATTCGTTGGATCATCGAAAATCAAGAAAGTTCCAGGAAAACATCTACAATAGTGCAGTCAATAAAATCAACTTTATTGACTACACTAAAGTCTTTGACTGTGTGGATCACAACAAACTGTGGAAAATTCTTAAAGAGATAGGAATATCAGACCACCTTACCTGCCTCCTGAGAAATCTGCATGCAGGTCAAGAAGCAACAATTAGAACTGGATATGGAATAACAGACTGGTTCCAAATTGGGAAAGGAGTACACCAAGGCTGTATATTGTCACCCTGTTTATTTAACTTATATGCAGAGTACATCATGTGAAATGCCAGGCTGGATGAAGCACAAGCTGGAATCCAGACTGCCAAGAGAAATGTCAATAACCACAGATATGCAGATGACACCACATTAAGGCAGAAAACAAAGAAAAACTAAAGAACCTCTTGAGGTAAGTGGAAGAGGAGAGTGAAAAAGTTGGCTTAAACTCAACATTCAAAAACTAAGATCATGGCATCTGGTCCCAATACTTCATGACAAATAGAAGGGAAAAAATGGAAACAGTGACAAACTATTTTCTTGGACTCTAAAATCACTGCAGATGGTGACTATAGCCATGAAATTAAAAGACGCTGCTTGGAAGAAAAGTTTTGACCAACCTAGACAACATATTAAAAAGCAGAGATGTTACTTTGCTGACAAAGGTCCATCTAGTCAGAGTTATGGTTTTTCCAGTAGTCGTGTATGGTTGTGAGAGTTGGACTATAAAGAAAGCTGAGCACCGAAGAATTGATGGTTTTGAACTGTGATGTTGGAGAATACTCCTGAGAGTCCCTTGGACTGCAAGATCAAACCAGTCAATCCTAAGAGAAATCAGTCCTGAATATTCATTGGAAGGACTGATGTTGAAACTGAAGCTCCAATACTTTGGCCACCTGATGTGAAGAGCTGACTCATTGGAAAGACCCTGATTCTGGGAAAGATTGAAGGTAGGAGGAGATGGGGACAACAGAGGATGGGATGGTTCGATGGCATCACTGACTCGATGGACATGAGTTTGAGCAACTTCTGGGAGTTGGTGACGGACAGGGAAGCCTGGTGTGCTGTAGTCCATGGGGTAGCAAAGATTCGGACATGACTGAGCGAATGAACTGAACTGAGCTGAGCTGGATGATACACAGTGACGATTAATCTCCCTCTTACTCCTGATCCCCTGTTACTTGGTTCCCTTCCCCAGAGTCAACTGTTTTAATCAGTTTCTATGTTTCCTTCAGAAGATGAACTAGGACTTAACTAAGCAGAGTTCTTAGACTAGATACCAATGCACAATCCATAAAAGGAAAAATGGATACATTGATCTTTTTTTATTTTTATGTTTTGGCTGTACTCCACTCGTCTTGTGGGGTCTTAGTTCTCCAACCAGGGATCAAACTGGTGCCCCCTGAGGTGGAAGTGCCTCCTAACCACTGGACTTCCAGGGAATTCCTGACATGTTGGGCTTGACCAAAATAAAAAAAACTTTGCTCTGCAAAAGACTCTATTGAGAAGAGGAAAATTGTCTTAATTTATAAAATATGAGAAAATATATTCAAACTACATATCCAACAAAGACTAGTATCTAGAATGTGAACACAACTTTCAAAATTCAATACCAAAAAACCCAAACAATCCAATTGGAAAATAAGCAAAAGACATGAAAAGATATTTCACAAAAGAGGACATAGAGATGGCAAACAAACACATGATAATGTATTAATTGTCATTAGTCATCAGGGAAATGCCAATTAAAACCACAATGAGATATTACTACACATGTATCAGAATGGACAAAATTTAAAAAAAAAAGTAACATCAAGTGCTGGTGAGGATGCAGCCACTGGTTACTCTTATATTGCTGGTGGGAGTATAAAATGGTACAGCTGCTCTAGAGAACAGTTCAGCAATTTTTAAAAAAATTTATTTACTTATTTTTGACTGTGCTGGGTCTTCATTCCTGCTCAGGCTTTTTTTTAGTTTCAGGGAGTGGGGGCTACTCTCTAGCTGCAGTGTGTAGGCTTCTCATGGTGGTGGCCTCTCCTGTTGGGTAGCAAGGGCTCTAGGACTTGGGGACTTCAGTAGTTGCAGCTCCTGGGTTCTAGAGCACAGGCTCAGTAGTGGTGGCACAGGAGCTTAGTTGCTCCATGGCATGTGGGATCTTCCTGGACCAGGCATCAGACCTGTGTCTCTTGCATTGGCAGGCGAATTCTTTACCACTGAGCTACCAGGGAAGCCCTGGAAATTTCTTTAGAAAGCTAAACTTGCAACAACCTAGCAATTGTACTCCTAGACACTTACCCCTCAGAGAAAGAAAGACTTATGATCACACAGAAATCTGTGTAAAATTGTTGACAGCAGTTTTATTAGTAGTAGCCAACAACTAGAAATAACCTAGACGTCCTTTAGTGGGTGAATGGTTGTATGCATGCTATGGACTATTTTTCAGCAGTGAAAAGAATGAACTATAGTTTTGGATCACAACCTAGATGACTCTCCAGAGGATTATGCTGTATTGGAAGAAAAAAAAAAAAAGCCAATCCCACAAAATAACATACTATATAATTTCATTTATATAACATTATCAGAATGACAAGTTACAGAAGTGGAGAACAGATTAGTGATTGCCAGGAGTCAGGGCAAAGGGGTCTGGGAGGGAATAGGATTTGGCTGGAAAAGGGTAACATCTTTATAGTGCTAGAAATGTTGTGCATCTTGAATTGTGTCGATGCCAATATTCTGGCAGCAATACTGTGCTATAATTTTGCAAGCTGTTACATTTGGGGTGAGCTGGGTCAAGGGTATTCCAGATATTTCTGCGCTATTTCTTATGGTTGCATGATTTTCTCAGAAGAAAATGTTTAAAGAGTCATCAGAGTAAAATGATTAGCTTTCATAATGTCAAAACAAAACAAACAGAATGAAGAAGCTCCACACACACACACTTAGAAGGATGTCAAGCACATTTTGTTAAGTGGAAAGTAAGCTATGTATGTATCAATAATAGAGTCCCACTTTAATTTAAAAATTCAATGTGGGGGTTTCCCTGCTGGTCCAATGGCTAAGACTCAGTGTTCCCAATGCAAGGGGCCTGGGTTTGATCCCTGGTCAGGGAACTAGATCCCCCATGTGGCAACTAAGACCCAGTGTAGCCAAATTAATATTAAATAAAAATAGATACTTAAAAAAAAGGAAAATTCAATGTGTGTAAATATATGTCTACACAAACAGAAAAAAGCATGAAGAAATCCACACTAAGTTGTTTGCAGTAGTATTGAGGATGGGCAAGGAAGAAGAAAAATGTTGAGTCTGTGAGTCTGTATAATTTTTGTAGTTCAAATAACTAACCAAAAAAGTAAAGATGATCTTAACACAACTTACAAAATGTATATTATGAATGTTTTCCATTTCATTGAAAATTATTTGTAAATGTCATTTTTAGTGCTCATCTAATAGTCCATCAAGTTAGTATGCTCTAATATGCAGCCATTATCTTTTCATCTAATCTTGCACCCTATTAAGAACACTGTAATTATTATTTTGTACCTACATTTTGGCTTGAATTTTAAACTTATTAAGGATAAAGTTCTAGAAATGAAATTAAGGATATGAGCTTAAAAAAAAAAAAAGTTGGTGTATACAGCCAGATTGCTTCCAGAAAGGTTCTATCCATTTACAGTAAGTCTAGATAATAATGTCACTGTGTGTGTCTTTCACTGGAGCCCTTGCTGGCACTGAATACTAATATTTAAAACCTTCTCTCTTTTATTTTTTGCTAATTTTGATAATTGAAAAACATATCATTGTTGTTTTAATTTGCATTTCTATGCTCGCCTGTGAGCTTGAAACAATGTGCTCCTTTCTAAAAATTCTCACCTCTTTTGTGTCGATGTTTTTGTTCTGTTCCTAAGATCTGAACTTCTTTCAGAATGGCTTCCCTTCCCAGCTTCCTGATCTCTGACAACAGCAGGATGACTCTCCTGACCGCTCCCAATTTCTGAACCAGAGTTGGATTTTTCCCCCCACTTCAATCCCAGATTTCCCCTCAGTCCCTGCCTAGGGCCATTCCTTCCGGTGGATGTGTTCTTCCGTTTCACCTTCTTTGTTCTCATGGGAATGCCGCCATCATTGGCCAAGGCCACCTACCCCTCCCCTGGGTTACAGTGGGAGCTTCCGGGCAATTCCTTTGCTACTGGTCTCTCCTACTTTGCTTCTCTTCCTCCTACAGCAGCGCTGATTCCCAACACAGTGCCAGTCACTCCCTATTCCACTAGACTAAGCCTGGAAGAGCCTCTGCCTGACATTCATTCCCTCAGGATGGCTTCCCGCAGCTCCTCAGCCAGACACCTCACACCCAGGTATTCTCCTCACTGCTTTGAGGTGGCTGCCTGTATGACTTTCCAGGAACTTTACTCCCTTCCTAGACATTCTTGCTGCAACACTTTCCTCTAGCTTACTTCTTTTTTTTTTTTCTAAAGAAAACTATTTATTTATTTGTCTGTACTGAGTCTTAGTTGCGGCATGCAGGATCTTCAGTCTTCATCCGGCCTGCGGGATCTTGAGTTGAGCCAGGCAGAATCTTCCTTAGTTGAGGCAGGATCTTTAGTTGAGGCATGTGAACTCTTAGTTGTGTCATGTGGGACCTAGTTCCCCTACCAGGGATCAAACCCAGGCCCCCAGCACTGGGAGTAGGGAGTCTTAGCCACCAGATCACCAGGGAAGTGCCCTGCCTACCCTTCTTTTAAGGCTTTGTTCTGTACTGGTCTCCTCCAAGAACTGATCCCAGACTCTCTCACACTCTTAGAACTTTCACAAAGTAGAATTTCTTTTACAAAGTATAGAACAGTCTGGACAAGGGGGTCTTGATGAGACCCAGAAGAGCTTTTAACAGGGAAGCAAGGAAGACAAGTTATTTTAGGGAAAGGTTGTTAGGTTTCATTTGTAACCAGTTGAGATTTGGGGTGATGTCAGGACATCCAGATGAAGTCATTCCTTGGGCCACTGGAAACGTGGGCCCAGGAGGAAGGCGAGAGGTTGGGGCTGGGAGTTATCTCCTGAGCAGACAAGGGATGCAGTGGAAGTTTTTTTCTTTTAATATTCATTTTTATTTATTTGTTTGTGCCAGGTCTTAGCTGTGGCATATTGGATCTAGTTCCCTATCCAGAGGTTGCACTTCTGCATTGGGAGCTCAGAGTCTTAGCCACTGGACCACCAGGGAAGTCTCACAACAAACTGAATTTTAATCCTGGCTCTACCACTTACTGGAGTCAAAATTCGAACAGTAGAAAAAGGCATAAAATGAAAACCTCTCCCACACCTGTCTCATGGGGTTCACTTCCTATCCCCAGGGACAACCAAGGCGACCATTTCCTTGTGTTCACCGATAGAAATATTTGTTCGTTTACAAGATAGATGGATAGACAGATAGAAATACAGGTAGATAGATGATAAATAACTTTCTCCCTCCTTTTCAAACAGTGATAGCTTTGAAAATATCTTGCTTTATTCAGTTAACAGTGTTTCTCAGATATTATTCCATCTCAGAATATAAACAGCCTCCTCATTCTTCTCTTATAGCATTCCACTGAAAGGGTGAGTCTAACTTATTTAACCTCTTCTTTCATGGTGGACATTTCATTCTGTATGTGCATTCGTAATTCTGGGAGTATTATAAATTACCTTCCAGGGAACAGATAAATTGGGAGATTGGAATTGACATATACACACTACTATATATAAAACAGATAACTAAGAAGGACCTACTGCATAGCACAGGGAACTCTACTCAATACTCTGTAACGACCTGTATTGAAAAAGAATTTTTTAAAAGAGTGGCTATGTGTATGTGTTTAGCTGAATCACTTTGCTGTACAGTAGAAATTAACATAGCACTTTAAATCAACTATATTTCAATAAAAACTTAAAAAATAAGAACAAAACAAATTACTTTCCAATGAAACTGCACTGGTTTATGTTCCTGCCGATAATGTGTAAGCAAGAGTTTGGACAACTACTTAATTTCTCTGAGCCTCTGTTTCCTTATCTGCAAGATAAGCAAAACGGTACCTATTTCTCAGACTTGTGACGATTACCTGAGATGATGTGTGTAAAGTGTTGGCCTGTAGGAGCTGGTGGAGCTTCTCAGGTGGCTCAGTGGTAAAGAATCTACCTGCTAATGCAGGAGACTCAGGAGACATGGGTTAGATCCCTGGGTAGGGAGGATCCCTTGGAGGAGGGCACGGCAACCCACTCCAGTATTCTTGCCTGGAGAATCCCATGGACAGAGGAGCCTGGTGGGCTACAGTCCATGGAGTTGCAGAGTCAAACATGACTGAAGCGACTTAGCGCACATACATGTAGAGGCTTGTGCTCTCTAAGGGAGGTTACGATTTTATTTGGGGTTAGTGAGATGCTGTCCTGGCCAGGTAAAGGAATGTGTTTGGACCTCCTCGACAGTCTGGGGTTCTCAGATTAGGACCAGGGCAGATTCTATCGGAGATCAGCAACTCAGATCAGAAGAGTGGTGGGTACCACCCTTGTCAGGGATGCGTGTCTCCAGGGTACCCCAACCTCCTCTATACGGGATCTGCTCCCAGGTAACAGTGAACTGGGCCATCGAGTGGAATCCAAATTAAACCTGTGGGACCAAGGATCCTTTCCTCTGATCATCAAGAATCTCCAAGTAACTGACTCGGGGACTTATACCTGCGAAGTGGACAACAAAAAGCTCCAGGTGGAACTGCAGGTGTTCAGACGTGAGTGGGGCAGCCTGGGATCAGCAGCCTGGGATCTCCAGCCAATTTCCCTTCCTTCTTGACTTGCATCCTTGCACCCAAACCAGGGCCTGAGCTGCTGGCATTTCAACAGTCTGAAGACAGATCAGACAGGCCACTGTGTCTTCTCAGTGCCACCTCAGGCCTTGGGTCAGGCAAGCGAGACAGAGACCTGGAGGCGAGCAGGAGGTGCAGGGGTGGAAAGGCAGGAGACAGAGGGAGGAGTGAGAGAGACAAGGAAGAGAGGTGAGCGGGAGGGGAGAGGAGACCCTGCCTTGGGCTGGAGGTGGCCAGAGGGAGCTGTTGGGACAAGGGTAACTGCAGATTCTCAGATGGCTTGGTGGTAAAGAATCTGCCTGCCAATGCAGGAGACACAGGTTTGATCCCTGGATTGGGAAGATCCCCTGGAGAAAGAAATGGCAACCCACTCCAGTGTTCTTGCCTGGAAAATCCCATGGATAGAGGAGCCTGGTGGGCTACAGTCCACGAGGTCACAAAGAGTCAGACACAGCTTAGCAACTGAAACAACAAACGGACAACAGGGCAATACCCTAGGCTTCCTGGCTTCTTTTCTTCTTGGGGAGATGGTGTGTGTCTGTTTGTGACACAGTTCGCCTGCTCCCCTCACAGTGACTGCCAGCTCGGACTCCCGCGTGCTGCTGGGACAGAGCCTGACCTTGACTTTGGAGAGTCCCTCTGGGAGCAACCCTTCAGTGCAATGCAAGGGTCCAGGGAATAATAGGAAGGAAGACCTCAAGAGCCTGTCACTGGCCCAGGTGGGGCTGCAGGACAGTGGTACCTGGACGTGCACTATCTCCCAGAGCCAGCAGACACTGGAGATCAAAATACCCATCGTGGTGCTGGGTAAGAGGGGTTCCCCCTCCCCCGCAGGCACCCCCTGCCTGCCAGACCTTCCTCTGCCCTCAATGCTCCACTCTGGGAGGGGGGTGCGGTTTGGTGGGGGGGCGGGGAGAGGGAGGCTGAAGCCAGGATCCCCTGGAGCAGAAGTCTGCCTTAAGGGACACGCTGGCCTTCTCTTCCTCACAAGCCACTCCTTGGGGAAACGAACATGGAAGAAAGAAGGGACAGGAGGTGTAAGGATGTCAGGGACCCCAGAGACCCAGGAGGAAGCCCCACAGGAGGGCTGTCAAGGGCATCTGTCTTTTTGGTTGCCTCAGCTTCCCCCTCCCACCAAGTTGCAAGTCCACTAACTCAGAGACGCTCACAGCAACAAGCCAGCCCTGAAGAAACTCAGTGTTGCAGGTTCAGAGTCCTGAGTAGGCACTGGGAAGAAAAAAAAAAAAAAAGAGTCTAGAAGACAGGTGCTACCCCAGACCCTGTCCTCTGGGTGACTCACGTGACACACAGGAGGGTAGCGTGGTAATGAAGTTTATGGACTCTGTCTGAAATCCTGGCTCTGACTTGACTGTGTGGCCCCGGGCAGGTCACTGAAACTCTCTGTGCCTTGGTTTCTGCATCTGCAAAATGGGGATGATCTAACCTACCTTATCGTGTCATGAGGACAAGTAACATATGAAGTGCCCTTAGAACAGCGCCTGGCACGTAGTCAGCCAGTGTCTGCGCTTACCTCGAGAAGGGTGATGAATGTTGTACCCATGTGGTACAGGCCAGATGCCCTCTGTGCTCCAGGATCCTGAGGAGGGAGAGAACCCCTGTGGCTGGGCTGTTCTAGGAGGGCTTCTCCGGGGAGGGGGCATTGCTGTGGCACCTCTCTGGGGTGCTTAGCAGAGAGAAGAGAGGAGATGTAGAAGGGACTTGAAGGGCTCGAGTGGCAGCCCAAGTGCTTGGACTCACCTGGCCCCCTTTCCTGCACCTGCCTTGCCCTGTATGGACCCAGGTTCTCTCCCTCCCCCTCCAGCCTTCCAGAAGGCCCCCAAAACAGTCTATGTGAAGGAGGGGGAGAAGGCGGAGCTCTCCTTCCCACTCACCTTCGAGGATGAAAATCTGATCGGGGAGCTGAGTTGGCAGCAGGCGAACGGGGATTCTTCCTCCCATACCTGGGTCACCTTCACCTTGATGAACAGAGAGGTGAAGGTGCTCACGATTCACAAGGACCTCAAGCTCCTTGTGGAGGAGAGGTTACCGCTGCGTTTCACTCTGCCGCGGACTTTGCCTCAGTACGCGGGTTCTGGAATCCTGACCCTGGATCTCACCAAGGGGAAGTTGCGTCAGGAAGTGAACCTCGTGGTGATGAGAGGTGAGGAGCTAGGCTGAGACGGTGAGGGTGGGGTCAGGGGCCAAGGGACCTGGCTCAGCGGCCCTCCAAGTCATGACAGACCCTTCATGAGGGTGCCTTGGCCCTGGATGCCTGATGGAGCCCATCAAGGGCCCTCTGGTTGGGGGAATTTTTTTTTTTTAATGTGGCTATGTTGGGTTCATTGTGGCATGCAGGGTTTCTCTAATTGAGGCACAAGGACTTTTCTTGCAGAGCATGGGCTCTAGAGCATTGCAGGTCAGTCGTTGCAGCTCGAAGGGTTTAGCTGCCCTGCCTCATGTGGGATCTTAGTTCCCTGACCAGGGATCCAACCTGCGTCTCCTGCACTGGGAGGCAGACTCTGAAGTCCCTGGGGGTTGGTTTTGAACTAAGGTTGGAATCCTCTGTCCCTCCCTGACATCCAAGAGCTGGCCTAGGGTGAGCTCCACTAGAATTCCCGAGGGCCTCACTGAGAACCAGGCTCTAGTTCTACCTCTGCTGGGACCCTCTCAGATCCTGACTAAGCCCCTCCCTTCATTTTTGTCCTAAGGAGGATAACAGTGTGACAGTGATGGTGACAATGTCAGGTGTCACACTGAGTTCTTTGCCTCCTACCTCCTTAATTATCATAACAACATCACCAATAATAATGGCTTAGATTGGGTATTTCATACAAGCCAGGCCCCATTCAAGTGCTCTGCGTGTATCTTTCCATTTAACTATTGTGTGGGGCTCTCCCTGGTGGCCCAGGTGGTAAACAATCTGCTTGCAATGCAGGAGATCTGGGTTCGATCCTGGGTGGGGAAGATCCCCTGGAGAAGGGAATGGCAACCCACTCCAGTATCCTTGCCTGGAGAATCCCATGGACAGAGAAGCCTAGTAGGCTACAGTCCATGGGGTCACAAAAAGTCGGTCACCACTGAGCGACTAACACCTCACTTCAGCTTGGGAAGTAACTTCTTCAGAGACTCACAGATCGTAAGCAGCAGGGCTGGGGTTCAAATCTAAGACTGTTGGATCTCAGAAGCTGTGCTTCCTCCATTATAATTGTATGAAAATGTGCTCTGAGAGGCTAGCATAGTGGTGCTGATGTAAAGCACCATCGTCACTGTTCTATGGAATTCCTGGAGGTCCAGGGTCCCGGTCTCAGGCTCTTGTCCCTCTGCAGTGACTAAGTCCCCAGACAGTCTGACCTGTGAGGTGCTGGGGCCCAGCTCGCCAAGGCTGACCCTGAACTTGAAGATGGGGAACCAGAGTATGAAGGGCTCAAATCAGTCGAAGTCGGTGACAGCGCTGGCGCCTGAGGCTGGGACGTGGCAGTGTCTGCTGAGTGACAAGGGCAAAGTCCTGCTGGAATCCGAGATCAATGGTAAGTCAGGGTCCCTGTTCCATGGCCTAACCCCGAGCCCCTGCCTCCTCACCTGGGGGACCCTCCCAGGGCTGGTGGAGACCACCCAGCCTCCCAATTGCTCTGAGATGGGTAAGGTGGTAGGTGAGGGCCGAGGACACAGGGCTGATGAGGTGAAGTGGGGTGTGGCCCTGAGCTCTTGTAGTCCTACAAGTTCCCACTTCCCTAAGGTCTGCCACCCAGGAGTGGGGCTCACCTGACCAAGAGCCCCCCTCCCTGGCTCCTCTTCAGACCCAGACATACATGCACACCCAAACGTACAGATACTCGTGTGCATAGGAAGGGTGGGGACTGTTGGTCTAGCTCCCCAGAAAGCAGAGTGGCATCTAATCTTAAAACCCTTTCCCCAAGGGAGCTTTGGGGTAGAATGGATACACGTATATCTGTAGCTGAGTTCCTTCCCTCCTCACCTGAAACTGTCACAACAATGTCTTTTTTTAATTTTATTTTTAAACATCAAAAAATAAAATGTTAAAAAAAAAAACAACAACAAAAAATCCTTCCCCAGCCTTTCCCTTCCAGTCCTGGTGGCCCCGAAGGGGACCACGTATCCTGCCTCGCTGTCTCAGCCCAAGGACCAGACCCAAGTGTGGCTGGGCAGTGAGACCCTCTCTCCTGGGCCCCCTTGTGTGCCCCTTGCCCTGACCGTGGGCAGGGAGCTGAGCACGCCTCTCTCTGTCTTGCAGTCTTGCCTTCAGACCTCATCCAGGCCTGGCCAAATCTCCTGCCCGTGGTGTTGGGGGGAATCACAGGTCTATTGCTTCTCACTGTCTTCTGCATTGTCTGTGTTAAATGCTGGCACCGCAGGGTGAGTGAGCCCTCCCCGACGTCCTTGCACCCCCACGGGACACTCAAGACCCTGAGGCTGGTCCAGCCACGAGGGTGTCCTGTGTCTGTGACCCGCTTCTCCTCTGGCTCCCTCTGCCCACTGCTCACCCCCTCACTGCCGGCTGGGCCCCGTCCCAGATCCCATGAGGAGGGAGAGAAATGAAGGCGCACAGTCAATTCTGGGACAGATGGCCTCCTCGGCCACAGCCCTGGCCTCTCCATTCCCAGCTTTCCCCCCATCCCCACCCACGCGCCTCTCCTCCAAGGGGCAGCTCCCTTTCAGAGGCCCAGGGCCCTCACAACTCGCCTCCTTCTCCCTGGACAGCGCCAGGCAGAACGGATGTCTCAAATCAAGAGGCTCCTTAGTGAGAAGAAGACCTGCCAGTGTCCCCAGTAAGGAACTGGGAGGGGGAGCGGAGAGGGAGGGGAGGGTGGAGAAGGGAGGAGGGAAGGAGATGCAGGCTAGAGGGAGGCTGTGCAGAGGAGAGAAGTGGGTGGGGATGGCCCAGGAGGCAGGAAGCTGGCTGGAGGATGGAGGACCAGGTGAGGGGTAGGGGGCCTGGGGTGTGGCTGGGAGGGAAAAGCAGGCTCTGGGAACCACAGAGGGCTGGAAAGCAAAGGGCTGGGAGGCACAGACTTGTTCTTCTTATTCTTCGTCCCTCCAGCCGGCTCCAGAAGACCTATAATCTCACCTGAGGCCCGGATCAGGAGGAGTTTTTCACCTGCAACCTCCACACCTGGCTCCGCCACCCCCCAACCCCAACCCCACCCCCGCATCTCCTATCGGGCCCCTGGGCCTGGGGACCAGATGAATGTAGCCGGGCCCTCTGGCCGCCTCCCGCCCTCCTGGTCGAGGGCGCCTTGGGTCTGCTCTTCCAGATGCTCGCCCCTTCTTCCCCATTTTCTTTCTACTCCAATTCTAACCCCTCTCTGATGACTTCTCTCTCCACTCACTCCCTCACCACTGGCTCAGATCCCGGGCAGCACAAGGGACCAGCCCAGCCTGGCCTGGAGGATGAGGCTGGGTGTCTGCAGCATGAAGCCCAAGACTGTCATTGTACGGGGAGAGGACCCTGGGACCAGAGAGAGGAGGGACTAGCCCAGGATCACAAGCTAGTCAAGGACAGATTCAGATCCAAAGGTTCCTCCTGACTGCCTGCCAGCAGCATTTCATTCTGCTGCATCTCACTCTGCCTTGGCAGAACCACAGACTCACATCCTGACCTGGGCACAAACAGGCACCCTGGGCACGCTTGTTCACAGATGTGATTCCTTATCGCCCCAGCAGCACAGCTCTATTTACAAACCAGTTTCTTTGTTTGTCTATGGGCTTCCCTGGTGGCTCAGATGCTAGAGAATCTGCTTGCCAGTGCAGGAGACCGGGGTTTGATCCCTGGGTTGGGAAAATCCCCTGGAGAAGAAAATGGCAACCCACTCCAGTATTCTTGCCTGGAGAATCCCACGGACAGAGGAGCCTGGCGGGCTACTGTCCGTGGGGTTGCAGAGTTGGACATGACTGACTGACTAACAATGTCTATTTCAGCCTCATGAAAATTCTGCAAGGCTGGTAGTGACAGGACCAAGACTAGCATCTCCAGTTTATAGAAACAGAAGACAGAGAGGTACAGCTAGTATGTGGACTAGCCCAGGTCTCTTGACTGCTAGTTCCACTTCTATCTCTTGAACAGAGGGAAAATACCACGCAGGTCTCTGCAGCTGGCTGGTCACAGATGCCGGGTATGTCCCTTGTCCCTCCATGGGAGCCCTTCCTGGCAGGGAGTTTGCCTCAGAGAGTTCAGGATCAGGCAGGAGGGCCTCCCTGTCTAGAATCCCTCCTTCGTCCCCTGCTGGCTGCAGAATCCTGTTACCAGGGAACAAAACCTGCAGTTCTCCTAATCAGGGCACACACAGGCCCTGTGGGAGAGGGTGTCCACTGACCACCACTCACCCTCTCAGAACCTTCTGGAAGGTGAGTTTTGCCCAGGGGAGAGGTGAGAAGCTGGCTGGAAACTGAGCCCTCTGAGGGCGCCTCCTGTGAAGGGTGATACCCCTGGGCCTCAGTCTCCCCACCCTGCACCCCCTTCTTCCTTCTCCCAAATGACTCAGGATACAAGAAAATCTCAGGGTTACAAGTTTTCTTCTTCTTCCTCTTTTCGATCCATTTCTCTCAGTATCCCCAGCCTCCTCTGCCCCACTCTCCACCCTTCGCTTTCTCATCACCTCTTGCAATCCCTACCCTTTTCCCTTCTTTTCCTTCCAATTTGCCTCTTTGAGAAAGAACACCCAGCTGTCGACAGGGGTCCCCATGGCTTGCTTGTATTCATGACCTGTCCCCACCCCTGCCTCCCTGAGCTGAGAGAAAAATACAACAGACTTAACTTTAAGGAAGATGCTCTTCATTTATGTATGTGTGTGTGTGTGAGAGAGAGAGAGAAAGAGAGAAAGAGAAGGGTGGGGGAGACATTGCGTGCCAAGTCTCTTCAGTCGTGTCCTACTCTTCGCGACCCCATGGACTGTAGCCCGCCAGGCTCCTCTGTCCATGGGATTCTCCAGGCAAGAATACTGGAGTGAGGTGCCATGCCCTCCTCCAGGGGATCTTCCCGACCCAGGGATGGAACCTTTGAGGGGGAGGCAAAGGTGGACTCTTTCCTGGGGATCTGGAATCTTCTGATCTGTGGGGTCAGACCCAGAGGACAGGTTGTCAGGTTTGCCCCCAAGAAGCAGACCAAGTTTCCCTGGGGAGGGAAAAACCCCCTGGAGGTGGTCAGCCACCTCCCCACCCCACAGGGCCCTGAGTGTGCGTGCTTGTGTGTGTTCCACTGAAGAGGAGAGACTGCAGGGGCCGTGTGTGCGCGCGCCACGTGAGAAACTGCGACGTGTGCGTGAAAACTGTGTGTCCCCCACACAAGTGTGAGTTTGTGTTCCAGGAGGAGGCAGCGGTATATTGGGGGGAGGTGCATCCTTCTAGCCCCCTGTCCCCTCCCCCCGCCCCCGTATCCCACAAGCAGCCCCAGCATGGCCACCGCCCCTCACTCCTGCAGCCTCCAGCACACGCCCGCGTGAGCCCTCATCCTGGGAACAGCCCTTAAAGATACACTGGGTGACACACGCGTCCTCCTCCCCGGGCCATACCAGCGGCCTCTCGGGGCCTGAGTTCGCCGGGGGGAAAACTGGGTGGGGTGGGGGCAGGACTCGAGCCGGGTCACCAATGAGACGGTTCCTTCCCGGCACCTGCCTAGCCCCTCCCGCGCCAGGTCTCCACAGTCCGGTCCCCCGGCCCGCGCTCGCCCCGGTCCCCCCGGGCTGGCCTCCATCCCGACCCGGGGCTGCGGGCAGTGGCGGGACCCCGGGAGAGAGGGGCCGGCGGGCATCTAGGGGGCCGAGCCGAGAGGCTGGGACGGGCGGGAGGAGGGAGGCCCCGGGGGGAGGAGGGAGGAGGACTGAGGGCGGCGAGCTGGAGCCGGCAGGCGGCGGGAGCCCGGGCGAGCCGCGTCGCTCGGGTGTGCGGTCTCCATAGCAGTGCTGGGCGCAGCCCGAGGTAAGGCGACCCCGGCCCGCTTCCCCGCGGGCCTCCCTCCTCTCTCCCCGCACCAACCCCCCACCGGCTCCTTTCCCCTCCGGCTGGCCCCTCCTCCCCGGCCACCTGCTGTCTCTGCCCTGGAGACCGCGGTGGGTGGCAGGCAGGAGGGAGGAGCCGCCTGACCTTACCCCTTCACCCCGAAGGGCGAGGGACCCCTGTCCGCCCCGGAGTCCCTCCGCACGCCCTCCCACCTTCCTCTGATCTCTCTCCGTCCTTCACCTCCTCTCTCTGTCCTTCACATCCTTCCTGCCTGGCTCCCTCTCTGAGTCCCCGCTGTTTCTTCCCGAGCCCACCCTCTGGGCATGGGTGGGGGTTGGTGGGAAGGGGTCCAAAGCTGTAGCGGAGGGTGGGGGGGGGGGCGCTCCTGACCAATTCCCTCTATCTTCCTCTGGCTGGCCATTGCCATGGCAACTAGGGTGTACTGGGCTCCCAGGGAAGACAAAGGTGGGGGATGGACGAAGGACCTCTGGGGGAGGGGGCAAGGGTCTACAGGAAACAGACCTTCCACTGCTGCACCCCGTTTTTACTCCATTTACCCCAAAGCCGCTATGCCCATCTTTCCTGCTTCCACTCTATCCAGGGTTTCCTCTTAGCCTCCTCGCCGGGGCTCAGTAAGGCTCAGAGTCAACACATCCAGGACACCTTCCTTCCCGTCAGAGTAAGACGGAGGCTGGGGCAGGGGAGGAAAGAGTGGGGGTCCACAGGGTGGGGGGGAGTCCGAACCTTATTGAACACCGGGCTTTTCTTCTCAGCCTCCCTCCCCCCTGCTCCCTCCCTCCACCCACCCCCGCCTCTCCAGGGGTCTTGCATTTCCTTCTATTTTCAGATACTATCACTTTGCCCCCTCTTTCTCTCTCTTCTGCTCAAACTCTCCTCCTTCCCCTGGTTCCCCCTCTTTCCATTTCTGGATGCTTCTGATGTCAGCGGTTTCCCTGCCTTTGGGTTCCCTAACCACCACCACCCCCACTCAGTCCCTGCCCCCTTTTTCCCGTCTTCCCAGATCCCCGGTGAGTGGGAGGGTGATCGTGCAGGCTGGGGAGATGGGGCTGAGCATCAGGACCCCTGGATCCAGGAGTCTGGAAAGCGGGGGAGGGGCCGTACACCCTATCCCAGTTTCCCGTGAGCCCTCGGGAAGAAACAAGTCGTGCCTCGGCCGATGAGGTTCTGGGGAGAGACTTGGGGATGTGAAGATAGCGGTTTGGTAGTATTGGGCAGAGGACAGAAAGAGGGACCTGGGAGGGAGGAAAAATGGCTGACGATGGATGGGAGATGGAAAGTCAGAATACCTTCTTTCCTGGAGGTCTGGAAGACAGGGCTCTTATCCGTGTGGGGTGACCATCTGGTTTAGGGCAGGAGAGTGTTCTGAACGACCCTGTGACCCAGAGTAACCAGTTGTTTCTCTAATTTCGAGAGAAGGTTGGATTCAGAGCCACTTGGAGGCCAGCTCAGGCTCTGCCCCTTCCACACCTCATCTCTCCCTTGCAGTGAGTCCAGGAGGCTGAGCACCACCCCCAGGATCCTTGGGGGCATCCAGAAGACCCGGAGTGGTCAAGAATCAGAGGAAGAAGAGAGCTGGAAGTCCTGGCATGAGGACCGGGGCTCCCCAGCCAATTTCCTAGTGGGGGAGCTATCAGCTTGTCTCCCCATTAACGACAAGAATACTTCTGGAAAGGCCCCACCCAACATGGAGGCCGAGGACCACCTCTGCTGACCCTCAGTCTCCTCCCCTGCCCTCCCCACAGGACCTCAGCTGGGTCATTCATGCAATGCTGAGCAAGAGGGGCGGCCTAGGGGCGGCCCACCTCACTCCGGGGCAAGGACTGTGGGCGTCATGGGGGTGCGTGTGAGCGGGGCTCCTGGGTGAGACCCGGCCCCCACCCCCAGGAGTTCAAGGGGGGTGGGGGGACCGAGGAAGGATGGCTCGGGGCGGGGCGGGGGCAGAGGAGGCCTCCCTCCGCTCGAACGCGCTGTCCTGGCTGGCCTGCGGGCTGCTGGCACTGCTGGCCAACGCCTGGATCATCCTTAGCATCTCGGCCAAGCAGCAGAAGCACAAGCCCCTGGAGCTGCTGCTCTGCTTCCTGGCGGGCACGCACATCCTCATGGCGGCCGTGCCCCTCACCACCTTCGCTGTGGTGCAGCTGCGGCGCCAGGCCTCCTCCGACTATGACTGGAACGAGAGCATCTGCAAGGTCTTCGTGTCCACCTACTACACGCTGGCCCTGGCCACCTGCTTCACCGTGGCCTCCCTCTCCTACCACCGCATGTGGATGGTGCGTTGGCCTGTCAACTACCGCCTCAGCAACGCCAAGAAGCAGGCACTGCACGCCGTCATGGGCATATGGATGGTCAGCTTCATCCTCTCCACCCTGCCCTCCATTGGCTGGCACAACAATGGAGAGCGCTACTATGCCCGCGGCTGCCAGTTCATCGTCTCCAAGATCGGCCTGGGCTTTGGGGTCTGCTTCAGCCTCCTGCTGCTTGGGGGAATCGTCATGGGGCTAGTCTGTGTGGCCATCACCTTCTACCAGACGCTGTGGGCCCGGCCCCGGAGGGCTCGGCAGGCCCGGAGAGCGGGGGGTGGTGGTGGGTCCAGGGGGGGTGGGCCAGGGGGCTTGGGTACCCGTCCGGCCTTCGAGGTGCCAGCCATTGTAGTGGAGGATGCCCGGGGGAAGCGGCGGTCCTCTTTGGACGGCTCTGAGTCGGCTAAGACATCTCTGCAGGTCACCAACTTAGTCAGCGCCATCGTCTTTCTCTATGACTCCCTCACAGGAGTGCCCATCTTGGTGAGACTGGGGCTCCCCCAAACCCACTCTCTCTCCAATATCCAGACCCCAGCATGATCACCTGACCTCTGACTCCATCACAAGCAGTTCCATCATCCATCTTCTCATCTACTCAGCCCCGCTGTGAGCCCCTGTCTCCATTGTCCATCTCAGCTCCTAGTTCCCACCATCCCCAGCTCCGTAGCGTGTCCTCCAGTGACCCGTACTCAACTCCATCACCTGTGCCTCTGTCCCACTCCCTGTCCTCTAGCTTAATCATCTATCTTGCTGTGCCACTATTCAGCCTCTAGAACTATCAACCCAGCTGTTAGGCTCCTCTCTCCACCCCCGAATTCCCTCTGGACACAATAGGGTCTTGAGCACTCCTGGGTGGCAACCCCACAGAGCTCACCCCACTCCACCCTCGGCTTTCTGCACTCCTGTGTGTGTGCGCTCAGTTGCTCAGTCGTGTCTGACTCTTTGTGACCCCATGGACTGTAGCCCGCCAGGCTTCTCTGTCCATGGGATTCTCCAGGCACGAATACTGGGGTGGGTTGCCATGCCCCCCTCCAGGGGATCTTCCCCATCCGGGAGTCAAACCCATGTCTTTTACATCTCCTGCACTGGCAGGTGGGTTCTTTACCACTAGTACCACCTGGGAAAGCCTGTGCATCCCCCATCTAGTCTTTATTTCTGAATTTCAACTTGTCTTCAAGTTTCCTATACCACCTCTGCTCCTCCTCTCTAGACCCCTGGGCTCTCTCTCTAGAACTCTTTCCGGATCCTCCTCCCACTAGGTTCATCCATCTTCATTCCAACTTTGCCTCTGTGCTTGTCCTATGTGATCTGGACCATCCCTTCCTGACTTCCTACCTCCCTCCTCCCCCAGCTGCACCAGGATGTGGGGTCTGGGGTCGAGGAGGAGCCACTCGGCTCTGGGCCCTGACCCGGCGCCTTTCCCCTCCTCCTGCCAGGTGGTGAGCTTCTTCTCCCTGAAGTCGGACTCGGCTCCCCCCTGGATGGTGCTCGCAGTGCTGTGGTGCTCCATGGCACAGACGCTGCTGCTGCCCTCCTTCATCTGGTCCTGCGAGCGCTACCGCGCCGACGTGCGCACGGTGTGGGAGCAGTGCGTGGCTATCATGTCCGAGGAGGACGGCGAGGACGGTCAGAGAAGGGGCTGGGCTTTCTCATTGTTTAGGCGTCGGCTCAAGGGAGCTGCCCTTTTCTACCAGCTCATCTGGGGGAGGGGGGGCGGGGGGCGGGGAACGGGCTGCTCTGGAGTGCCCCCTGCTGGACAGAATCTGCAGTTTCCCCTGGGTGGACTCCTGATTCCCTCTCCCCAAGCATCTCCCCATGCCCACCCACTGATTCCTCCACTCTACTTCCCCTGGAAGCCCCACACTACCCAGCCCTGCATCCGCCGGGCAGAGAGACCAAGAAACAGTCCAGAATCCTAACACAGCCATAAAGGAAGGCTGTGGAACCAAAAGGAAGCTAAGCCTCCCTCCTGAGACTTCCCAACTACAGGGAGAGCGCCTGGGGGTGGGTGGGTAACTATTTCAAGTAAGTGTGTCTATGTGTATGAATCACTAGAGATTCAGCACTGAACGCAACAGACACTAGCCACTCTTGGTTCTTCTTGGAGCTCACAGACTAATGGAAACAGGAGGATTCTCCGGGGAGTTTCTCAGGGAGTGGGAGCTCTTAAAGGGGGTGGGGAGGTGGGCATTCTCTACCTCGAACCACTCTGCCCCTTTTCTCTTCTAGATGGGGGCTGTGATGACTATGCAGATGGCCGAGTGTGTAAAGTTCGCTTTGACGCCAATGGGGCCACAGGGCCAGGGGGCAGGGACCCCACCCAAGTAAAGTTGCTACCTGGACGGCACATGCTCTTTCCCCCTCTTGAGAGGGTCCACTACTTACAGGTACAGGACACGTCTGTTCCGGGCATCCCCTCACTACTTTTCTCCAGTTGGTTATCCATCACACCCCTCCCCCATCCCCTAGCCCTGGCCTGCAGGGCACTGATGGGGAGGTGGAAGGAAGGCCTGGTTAGGGCGGTTCCCCATCAGTCAGACCACTCTGAACCAGGTCTGCCCCTTAGAGGATGTTTTTCAAAAGTTTAGGGGGTGGAGCCATCTTGCAGGGTCCCCACTTTGGTCCCCGCTTTGTCCCTGCAGCACCTGAGGGTCTATTTGCTCCTCTCCCCAGGTCCCTCTGTCCCGCCGTCTGTCCCACGATGAGACCAACATCTTCTCTACTCCTCGGGCACCAGGCTCCTTCCTGCACAAGTGGTCCTCCTCTGATGACATCCGGGTCCTCCCAGCCCAGAGCCGGGCCCTCGGGGGCCCCCCTGAGCACCTGGGACCAAGGCAGAGGCTGGAGGATGAGGAGGATGAGGAGGAGGCTGGAGGCGGGGGGCTGGCCACCCTCCGCCAGTTCCTGGAGGGTGGGGTTCTGGGCTCAGGTGGGGGACCCCCACGGGGTCCAGGCTTCTTCCGAGAGGAGATCACCACCTTTATTGATGAGACACCTCTGCCTTCTCCAGCCGCCTCACCGGGGCCCTCTCCTCGCCGGCCCAGGCCTCTGGGGGTCTCACCCCGCCGACTCTCCCTGGGGTCCCCTGATAGCCGAGCCATTAGACTTCCCTTGGGGCTGAGTGCAGGGCGACGCTGCTCCCTGACAGGAGGAGAAGGGAGCACAAAAGCTTGGGGAGGATCCTGGGGCCCAGGGAACCCCATCTTCCCCCAGCTGACTCTGTGAGCCCAAGTGGGCCTACTGAACCCAGCCCACAGGGCCTGGGTGGGGAACACCTCCTTCCATTCCTGAGCCTCCAGACTCTGGGGAGATGGGCGGGAACCGGGGCCCAGGGACGCCAGCTGGCTCCCATCCCAGTCACCAGACACCCGCCTCACCTGCCATCCTCTCTAGCAAAATGTATTAAAGTCAAGTGTTACCATGGAAACCTGTGTGTCCAGTGTGCTGTGGTGGCAGAGGGGATGGTCAGAGGCTCGGTGGGTGGAGTGGCTCATGAAGGACAAGTGTGCAGACAGTCACAGAGATGGGCTTCTGGGAGCATCTGGGGCTCGGGTGGGGGGCGCTTGGGGATACATTTGAGTTTGCTGATTTGGGTGTGAAGGATCTTCGCTGAGATCTGTGAAGGTGGTTTTAGAGGCTGTCTCTCTCTTCCTGGGCTTCCCCAGTGGCTCAGAATGTAAAGAATCTGCCTGCAATGCAGGAGACCGGAGTTTGATCCCTGGGTCGGGAAGATCCCCTGGAGAAGGAAATGGCAACCCACTCCAGTATTCTGGCCTGGAGAATCCAAAGGACAGAGGAACCTGTCGGGCCACACTGCATGCCTCAGCTCCCCTCCTTTCCCCAAATGTGTATGCGCCTACTTTCTGGGCAGGAAAACGTTTAAGGAGACTTGTGTCACGCCTGGAGTTTACCCTCCGCCCTGCTGCATTCTAAAGCTCTTTTTCTTCTACAAGTGCGGGTGGGTGTGCGGGAGGCTTCCACCCTCCTTTTCCTGGGCCCAGAGTGGAGGGGAGCCCAGTCCACCATAGCGATTCCCGCACGATGGGCCCCCGGGGTTGGTCAGGGGTCCTAAGAAGTTCCTCAGGCCTGCTCCGGGGCTGCCGTCTGCCCTGTTCTCTCCACCGTCTGTTTCTCCCCGGACGCGCCCCACTTGTCCTAAAGCCCACGTTCTCCACGTTCTGCCGCCGCCGCCGGGCGTCCTCTGACTCCAGTCTCTCTCTCACCCCGGCCTCTCCGGGCTTGGGGCTCGGGCGCATCAGCTCCCTGCGGCGCTCCTCCCTCCTCCCCTCCCTCCTCTCCATCCCTCCTTCCTTTTCCCTCCCTCTTCCTTTCCCCTTTTCCTCCCTCTCGCTCTCGGCTCCCGCAGTTCCCTCCTGCAGCCGGCCGGCGGCTCTGGCACGATGCTCCGGCTCCTCCGGTGGCTGCTGCTCCTGTTGCTCCTGCCCCCCCCGGGGTCCCCCGAGCCCCCAGGCCTGGCCCCGCCGTCTCCGGGGGGGCCTCCCCAGGCCCCCGACTTGCTCTACGCGGACGGGCTGCGCGCCTACGCGGCGGGGGCCTGGGCACCGGCAGTGGCGCTGCTGCGGGAAGCGCTGCGGAGCCGGGCGGCGCTGGGCCGCGCGCGGCGGGACTGCGGGGCGTACTGCGCGGCCGAGCCGGGGGTCTCGCTCCCCGCCGCCCCGGGGCCCGACTCCGGGCCGGGGGCCTGGGAACCGCTGCTCCTCCGCGCGGCGCTGCGGCGCGCCGAGTGCCTGACCCAGTGCGGGGCGCGGAGGCTGGGCCCCGGGGGCGCGGCGCGGCTCCGCGTGGGGAGCGCGATCCGGGACGCCTTCCGCCGGCGGGAGCCCTACAACTACCTGCAGAGGGCCTACTACCAGGTGCGCGGCCCGGTCCGGGCCCCGGGCGTCCTCCTCCAGCTCCCGGGAAGGGGCGGCGAATAAACGCCGGGACTCGGGTGGGGCTGTGTGGTCAAGACCTCGCCTTTGGAGTCGGTCCTGGCAAACCGCGACCAGTACCTACAGAGTGGGGCACGGCCTCGGGAGGGTGGGAGCAAAGTTGGAAGAGGGTGGAAGCCGATCGAAGATGGAGGGCAGGGGCCTGGAGTTCTAGGAAGTCTTATGAGACCTACGTGGAGTGACAGAGCCTCTTCCCAGGAATGAAGGGGGGCGGGGACAGGGGCGAGAGACGCGGCTGGAGAGAGAGAACTGGGGGGCGGGTAGGGGGTGAGCGTGAGCCTTCGCTTGGGGCAGGAGGGAGCTTCGGGAAAGAAAGAGGAGGTGGGCAAGGCTGAGGGCTCTGGTGTCGGGTCGTGGGACCCTGCCCAGCTACTGGTGCGATAGTTGTTGCCTACTAACGCCTACTAACGCCTACGTGGCCGGGGAAGGGGGGCGCCGGTCACACACACCTCAGCTCAGGGTCCTAGAGACCTGCGGCTTTTGCTGGCGGCTAGGGTCACCCCGACGTCCCCACCTCGCGTGGCCATCACTTCCACCTTATCTCTCCAGTGAGGTCCCTCTGCCCACACCCCACCCACTCCAGTTTCTGAGACCCCCCTTTCCATGGCTACCAGACTCCTGAGAGTCCCCACTTACTGGGTGTCTGGAGGTTGCGTGGTGGGCAGCTGTCACCTACCAGTCTTCCAGAAGGCTCGGGTGGGGATGTTGGGGAAGGGCAGATTCTGACACCCCCGCCCTGGGGGCTGACTCCCCCATCCCTCCCGTGTCTCAGCTGAAGAAGCTGGACTTGGCAGCAGCCGCAGCGCACACCTTCTTTGTGGCAAACCCAGCGCACCTGCAGATGCGGGAGGACATGGCTAAGTACAGACGGATGTCAGGGGTTCCGCCCCAGAGCTTCCGGGACCTGGAGACGCCCCCATATTGGGTGAGACCCTCAGCTTGACCCCAGCCTTTGACCGATGGGATACACAGGCCTCGCCCAGCTGTGCACTGTCTGCTGGGCATCAGGAAATCTGGGTATGTCCTCTGTGACCCTGATGGGAGGGTCCCTCTCTGGGACCTAGTTTTCTTCCTGAGATTCGCAAAGTCTCATGTTCTAACATTCGGATTCTCAGGCCTGCCCTGTATTCCCCAAGGTGACCTGAGACCTGGGGTCCAGGCCCCCAGTGAGGCCAACGCCCCTCCCCTTCTTTCTGTCTCCCAATCTATCTTGGCACCCTCCACCCCCCGCCCCCAGGATCTCGGGGGAATGACCTCTCCCCTCCCCAACAGGCAGCCTTTGACACCGGCCTGGAGCATCTTGGGCGCCAGGAGGCAGGCCTGGCACTGCCCTGGCTGGAGGACGCCCTGCAGGAGAGCCTGGCCCAGGTGGAGAGCTGCCGGGCCAGCTGTGAGGGGCCCGAGGAACAGGAGAGGGAGGCAGAGGAGGAGGAGGGGACCGGGAGCCAGGGGGGCCTGTATGAGGCCATCGCAGGTAAGGGGCTGGAGCGCGGGGGGCGGGGATCATGGTGCGCTGGGGTGGGGGGAGGCATATCATTAACTGAGTGAGTCCCCCGTGTGTCCCCCACAGGGCACTGGACCCGCGTCCTGCAATGCCGGCAGCGCTGTGTGGGGGATGTGGCCACGCGTCCTGGTCGCAGCCTCCCTGTTCCGGACTTCCTTCCCACCCAGCTGAGGCGGCTGCACGAGGCCCATGCTCAGGGTCAGTGAGGCGGAAGGGTGAGCCCCGGGTGGGTGGACTGGGGCTGGAACCCGGAGAGTGAAGGTCTGTCTCTACTGGTACCCGGAGCTCCACCTCTCCATCCTTCCATCTATCTCTGCATCTGAGTAGGTCGGGGCTCCCTGGGGACCATCACCTCAGAGGACTCTGGCTCTCCACTGTGGGAAGCTTGGGAGCTGGGTCACAGGGCTCCTTCTGTCCTCTCTGCTTCTCACTTTCCTTTCTTCTCTCCTCTCTTCCTCCCCTCTGAACTCTGCCCATACAGCCCAGGTATGTTCCAAGAAGCTTTGAAAAGAAGCAATGGATGAGCCTGTCTGCCTGGTGGGATGGGTCACTGGGAGACCACCTTCTCTGGCTCTGCTTCTGTACCCCCCGGCTCTTGGCCCTGCCCTGGGATGACTGGGGTGCTTGGTCTCTGGGCCACACCCCCACGCTATTGCTCTGTCCCCAGTGGGGAATCTCTCCCAGGCTGTGGAGAATGTCCTGAGCTTCCTGCTCTTCTACCCGGAGGATGAGGCTGCCAAGACAGCTCTGGACCGGTACCAGGCCCAGCTGGGGGAGCCGAGACCTGGCCTCGGGCCCAGAGAGGTACCCCCTACTCACTCACCCTGTGGATGTGTGCTAAGTTGCTTAGTCGTGTCCGACTCTTTGGGACCCCATGGACCGTAGCCCACAAGGCTCCTCTGTCCATGGGATTTCCAGGGCAAGAACACTGGAGTAGGTGGCCATTCCCTTCTCCAGCTCACCCTGTGAGGCCGTCCTAAATCAGACAAATACAGTGGAGAAGTCACCTGGACCCGCCCCCTATTCTGGCCAAAGGCGACCCCAAGTCCAGCATCTGGCCTTGTCTCCACTCCCTGCTCCCCACTTCAGGCTATCCTTCTTTTTTTCCTAACTTATTTCGACTGCACTGGGTCTTTATGTGGCCCACAGGCTCATCTCCTTGGCACATGGGTTTTCTCTAGTTGATGCACGCCTTCTCCTGTTGCAGTGTGTGGTCTTAGTTGCCCTGAGGCTTGGGGGATCTTAGTTCCCTGACCAGGGATTGAACCCACGTCCTCTGCATTGGAAAGTGGTTTCTTTTTTTAGCAGAAACATTACTTTACTGACAATGGTTCATATAGTCAAAGTGAAGTGAAAGTGAGTCACTTAGTCGTGTCCCACTCTTTGCGACCCCACTGATTGTACAGTCCATGGAATTCTCCAGGCCAGAATACTGGAGTGGTAGCCTTTCCCTTCTCCAGGGGATCTTCCCAACCTAGGGATCGAAACCAGGTCTCCTGCATTGCAGGCAGATTCTTTACCAACTGAGCTATCAGGGAAGCCCTCCCGTATAGTCAAAAATATGATTTTTCCAGTAGTCATGTATGGTTGTGAGAGTTGGACCATGAACAAAGCTGAACACCAAAGAATTTATGCTTTCAAACTGTGGTGCTAGAGAAGACTCCTGAGAGTCCCTTGGACTGCAAGGAGATCCAACCAGTCAATCCTAAAAGAAGTTAGTCCTGGATATTCATTGGAAGGACTGATGCTGAAGCTGAAGCTCCAGTACC